CCCCCCCCACCCCCCACCCCCCCAACAGAAAAAAAAGAGGGAAGGTGGGAGGCTGGACGAAAATTGTCCAGTACGGTGGGATCCAGTGATGGTTTCTTGAGGAGGGGGTACACCAGCGCCTCTTTAAAGGCCGCTGAAACAACTCAATTCCTTTGTATGAGAAAATCCCAAAAGCCACACTTGTCATAAATGGCAAGCTCATGGATTGACTGGCAGGAGGCAGTCAATATTATCAAATCTTACCTTGGAACATTAGTGAATAAGCAAAAAATAGATGTCTCAGATTATATGTATGTATACATAAATGTACACTTCCAAATAATATTTAAGGAGAGACAGAGTGTATGTTCTTATTGGTTGGTTTTCTTTTCAATTTTGCATTTAACAATATTTTTTTCCTAGTTTTTTATCTTTAAAAATAAAATTTAAAAAAATAGATGCCAGCTCCCTGATTGTAAGCTTCTCTTACTAAAAGAGGTGAGCAAGAAAGATCAAGCAGTATACAGGTAGTCCTCGTTTAGCAACTGCATCATTTAGCGACCATTCGCAGTTACAACAGTGATGAAAAAGTTACTTTGTGACCAATCCTTGCATTTACGACCTTCACAGGTCTGTAAAGCAAAGGAAAGCTGAAGTAAGATCTAAATAGTCTCAGTTTCACTTAGCAACCACTTTGCTTAATAACCGAGTTACTGGTCCCAATTGTGGTGGCTAAACAAGGACTACCTGTACACCAGTGCCACTGCTTATTACATTTTGAAGAAATCTCATAATACACAAATTCAAACAGGACCACAGCTTCTGCTATTACCTGCCTCCAGGTGGCCCCTATTTTCTGACATCTCCTTAGATTTTATAAGGTCATTGAGGGGCACAGAGAAACACAGAAACAGTTCAAGCTTGAAACAGACTCTTCTGATCTTACTTAAAGAGTTTCAAACTCCAAGGTCTTTTCTGAGATCAGAACACTTCTACCGAGGTTAGAACAGCCCACTTTAAGCTCAACTTACTTTGCACATCTCTAGGCAATACTATACCTTGCCTCAGAATACACGCTGCTGTGCAAAAATAGCATTTCCTTCAAGTTGTCCAAATTGATTAACCACATGAAATAAAAATAGGGATTTTAAACTATATGCATTTGACAGACTTGAGGCAGTAAATCCTAATTTTTCTACCTAAGGCACCATCGTGCCAAACTTCCTACAATTTTTGAAAACTGCCGAATACTTAGCAACACAAATTTCCTAGGCAGAGTCTACTGAATATAGTATATGACTTCAGCCAGAGCAGTCGCAGAGGAAAAGACAGGCAAAAGATGACACAAGTGAAGAAAGTGAGATGGGGAGAGGGCACTCACATTATATCTGCTATCCAGCCCAGCATGGCTAAGTGGCTGCCTCTGGTGAAGCTTGAGATCTCCACTCACAAACACCTGTGATCCTGGCACAGGGGAAAAAGACTGTAAAAAGGCCATGCTCTGCATCACAAAGGTGGACATTCTCTGAAATGAGAGCAGCAAATAAGCCAGAAGGGCAGAGAGAGAGTTGTTACGGCATAATATTTAGCATCACGTGTCACAAAAATTAGGATTAGAATTGCTAACAAATGCACAGATTAGTTAGACCAATCAACTATGTATAGAATATCCGAAGATTTGAAGAATCTGAAAAAATATAGAAGTGGTTTCAATTTTTAAACTTGTGGTGTAAGAACATTTAAAGAGATGTACAATCCACAACAATGTTTCCATTCCTATACTAGTCACAAGCCAGAAACCCCAACACAGGACATGAATACAACTGCACATTTGCGTTTCCCCAACAAAAAGTATTTAGATATACTGTATGCCACATCCGCCGCGACATTGTGCCTAGGAAGAACTAAGAGCCGTATCGTCCGTAAATGGGATTGCTTTTTAAAACCACCCCGGTTGGCGCCAGTCTCTGCACATCTTATGGAAGCAAACAGCAGAGTTTAATTATCCACTAATGAGTTCCATTTATCTGTCCTACCTTTCCCACTATTCAGTTTTATGACATGAAACTGAGTTCTAGCATTCTGAGAAAAATGCTCCCCTATTCACTTTTCCCAGATTATGCATAATTTTGTATATCTGGTTTTTCCTGAAGCTGAGAATCCTGAGCATTGTAACCTTTAAGCTCCTTGCTCAGTTTCTCTCCAGACCTGCATCCTACATTATTATCACTCTGCTTCAGAGGATAAAAATGATAATTAGCCATCCAGAGCCTCTGATAAGGGGCAATAAGTAGGTAAGTAAGTAAATGAATAAATAAACGTTTCTAAAAGCGGATTCCCTTAACAGAAACAGGCCCCCTTCCCCTCGGCTGCCGGCGGAACAGTTTACAAACCACGGGCGCGTCTTACAAAGGCCCCGCTGCCAGCACTGTAGGGGCGGCTTTGGACGCCACCGCCAGAATAGTACCTCTGCGGGCGAAATGAGGACGCGTCGCTTCATCCTTCGCTTGAGGCCAGGCGCTCCCTGAGAAGCGGTTTTCCGGCCACGCTTCCCCCGGAACCTCAATCTCCGCGGAACGCATCGGGCTTGGGCTACACGGACCACGCGCCCCTCTCCCACCGCCACCGGCCAGTCCGCTTCCGCAAACCGAGGGCCGCGGGACGGCTGCCGGACAGACGAAGCCGGCCGTCCTCGTGCCCACAGGGCCGCCCCCCCGGCTGCCGCTCGCGCACACTCACGCGCAGCTGGTAGGAGAAGGTCAGCAGCAGCTGGACCCCGACGACGCGCTCGGAGGGCAGCAAAGGGAGCGCCAGCTGGAAATGCAGCCGGTCCATCACTCCATCCTGGTTGGCGTCTTCCTCCCTGGCCTAAGGGCAGGGCAGAGCAGAGCAGAGCCTTTAACCCCCCGCGGCGAACGCGGACGCGGCAGAGGCAGAGTCGGGGTGGCCACGCCGCGGCGGCTGCCGGCGGACCCCGCCCGCGCGCGGGAAAGCGCGCCACCCG